TTGCCTCTAACGAACATTTTTCAGTACATGATGGTGGAAAAAATGATATTGATCGTCACATAAAATTGAAAAGACATAATAACAACATAAAATCATTTCGTATAAATCGACAATTGATAACATCAACTATTAAATCTAACAAGGAGGTTGAAGAAACAACCGCTGCGGAAGGTAAACTCCCCCCCAGAATAGAAGGCCACCCCCATTAGAAGGCCACCCCTGAGTCATATTTGCAAAAGTCACATTAGAAGGCCATGGCTTTCTAATGAATTGTTTGGATATTACATAAATATTCTGTGCTAGTTTTATAAATATCTTAGCATTTTGAGAGATCATGTATGATCTCCACCGCACTCCTGTTTGGTTTTGCTATAAATTTAAAGAGGTATGGTCAATTTCCAAAAGCTGTCAAAACAAAACAAAGTTTAATATGCCTATTTGATCGCTTCAATTCTTTTGCTTTGGTACGATTACATATCTTTTGAATACATATAAAAACTTTTTTGTTCTTTGAAGTATTTGTGGTGCCAGACATCGGATAGGTATACTAATATTTGTTGATTAAATATAATACCCATGTAGCCGATAATGGATGAATAATGGAAAATGATCCATTATTTTCCATTATTTGAAGAAAAACATGAATTAATGCATTATAATTAATTATTTTTTGACTTTTCAATGCATTTCAATGCATTATTTCTAATAATGCTGAAAATGAAGGATAATGCCTAAATTTTCAATGCATTGTAATGCATTATTATAAAAAAAAATGCATTATGATGCGTTGATAAATCAATGTATTGCAATGGATTAATTAAAAATAATGCATTATAATGCATGAAATAGGTTGCATTATCATGTAATTGCATCCATTGCATTTCTATTGTAAAATAATGCATTGCAATGCCCATTATTTCATAAAATCGGCTACATGGGTAGCATTAGCTCAAAAAGTCTAAACAAATTTCAATTTTCAGTTGTCGAGCTAGAAAAACAGAATCAGCAACTAACAAAAAAAAATTGTAATTTTTTACCATAAAAGTCCTATTAGAAGGCCACCCCTAATAGAAGGCCACCCTGAAAAGAGCGATGTGAATTTCCATAATAGAAGGCCATGGCCTTTTATTCTGGGGGGGGGTTTACTTTTCTATATCATAAAGTGAAGCATAGTCATTCTTATTCATTTCAACCGTATTTTATGTTTTGAAATTTTGTTAAAATAAAAACAGAATGCTATAGATATAAAAAACCGCTCAAAATCCTCATTAATGCTAAAAATCCGCAACGAAATAAGTTTCCGCAATTTTCCACTTTCCTAAGCCAACTTTCCGCTTTTTCGACCTCATGAGCTAGAATCTCTGTTGACCACCGTGTCCAATAAGTCAACAAGAATCAAAGCAGGTTTAATATCAAACATAGCAGCAAAACTTGCTGCAAATCTTCATATTGATGAAAAAGCAATAAGTGGTGAAGATTGGACTGATGACGAAGTAGAAATTGAAGATGATCTTAATAGAGAAAATCTTAATAATAATCAAGATGAACAAGGTGAAGATTGAGGTGATACTGAAATAGAATTATCATCTAATCTTGTATGATTTTATTCAAATATATTCACGTTCACGTACAGCTTTTACAGCACGTCGATCATGACCATCATTATATGCATATTCATTAAGAAATTGGTTTGTATTTATTTGTTTATTTAATAAATATTTTAAAATTTTTATTTTAATTATTAAAGCGTGAAGCCTATTCACCAAAATTATTTTATCTAGCAGTTGGATTAAAATTAGAAGAAGGGTGTGGGTGTGGGTGGGTGGGTGTAGACCACATTCTGCAATTAATCCGGACCCACACCCTAATATGGCCATCTTGTCAAGTGTAGTCCTTAACATACACAAATTTGTTTCACTTATGATCCTACAATTTTCATTGAGAAATAAATACTAGAAAAGAGAAGATATGTCTTTAAAGGGGCAAAAATCAATCATTATTATATATTTTTATTCTCAGTTTTTTTGTATGAACAACAATGCTTTGTTTTGGCATCTCTCTTATTAGCTGAAGATCCTTTCAATAGGTTTTCCAAATATGAAAAGAGGGCTAGATTCCATCATTTCTTGAGAAATCTTTTAATATCTATAAAGTTGACACATTGTGGAAGATGATTTCATAACGACATTTTAGGATAACGTATGAAAGTATAAGATGAGAAATACAATCAAAGTCTCTCGTGGTCTAGAAACATCGAAAAATAGACAACCTGTTTCTGTATTCATTTTCTTTAGAGAATAAAATTCAAATTAGATTCGAAGATTTACTCAAACAAATTACCAAATGAAAAAAAAATCGGTATCCACTACGACCAAGCCGATTTCATCTTCAAATAGTTGATGATCTTCTTCATGACAAAATATGAACCTACTGATGAATCTGGTTGATATTTTTCAAGATACTGTCATCTGAAATATTAAGCATCGTTAGCGGCGAATAGTCAAACGAATATATCCGAAATGATTCATAATTATCTATCAGCTATCAATACCATGGTAGCATATGGTGACAGCATAGTACCACGAGAAATGAGCACTTTACAGAGACTGAAATGGCATGGAATGTGTTTTCCATCTACCACTCAGGCAGACTCGCACCATTACTTTTACTTACACATTTACCGAAGAAAAACATAAATCTCAAATGATAATTTTGAATCATATGAAAAACTGATTCTTAATGTTAAAAATAATAACTACAGTTCTCAAACAAGACTAGTTGAAAACTCATTTATTAAATTGCTCGTTTCTCTGTCTTGAATTACTTGTTCGTCATCAGTAGACACTAAAGTTTCACGTGTATTCTGCAAAAACAAATACCAATGAGCTATTCAATATTGTAACTGCAAACAAGATGAGTTATTTTTCCATTGAGAAGAAAACGATAATAAAGCTTCAAATGTAAAAACAGAAACAAGAACTTTCAACGACTGATCCTTGATGATGCACGATAATAAAAGTTTTTGTATTTAATGTGTTCATTTGAAAATAACAAAAAAATGTAACAGCAGATGAAGAAAAATAAATCGTGTTCTTTAAAAGACATCTCTTAAATAAATGAACTAAACGTGAAATAAGTCATTATCGTCGAACATTCAAGTAAAGTTATGACTTTTGCTTGGACTGTTGTGATTAATCATTTGTTGTTGCTATTCATGGAGTGTCTCAAGGAAACTGGTCGCATATTGCTGTGCTTCAGCAAATCCTACAAAGTTGTTCTGATCACCGTTGACGCACCATTCAAAGAGAGTTTCTCTACTAATACACCGGTGATGAAGAAAAAATTTCAATATCTTTGTCATTGTTTGATCTATTATTTAGAGTAGAACAAGCAATTGGAAATATGCTCACAATCTTACCAGTCTGTGCATTGTTACTAAGATGATATATGAAGACTTGAATGGCAAGAATTACTTTCAATCTATCATCGTCATCAACAACATACTTTTGAATGATTGCAATATGCTTCAATATCAGATTAGCCTTTGTTGAAGTCTCATTTCGATACCATGCTTCGAGAAATGAAAGCACTAGTGCTATTCTATCGATTTTGCCTTTTTTTCCAGCACTTTTCTTCATTCTCTATTCGAGACAAAGAATACGATGAGCCATTAAAAAAAGTATTTGGTTAACTTTACGCTAAGATAAGCACTTAACTGATCGTCACTGGATGAAGAGACATCTTCAAATCGAGCGATCAATTTTTTGAAAGGATAAGGATTGCACATTTTTTGACTTGTTATAGGACCATCTTGTGCTCGTAGTGTTCTCGCACGAGGTTGCTGATTTTCTGCTCGATGACCTTAAAAGAAAGTAGAAGTAGAATTGTTCAAATTTTATCAAATCAATCTATAGAACTCATAACTCTTGAGGTTTGTTCAACAGAAAGAAATCTTGAAATATATGACATCTTTAGTGATTCTGTAACGGATGGATATCTCAACTATTGCAGTAAATACTATATTTGCCTACTCGAAAGAACTTATTGTGCTATCTACGCTTGTAGCACCAAGTTTTTCATTCTATTAAATTGTCAATTTTGAATGCTTAAATTCCGAATAATTATCTTCCATTAATTTTTACTCTAATGCAAAACTGCATTGACAATTTTTTTTCTCATTGAAATGAATAATTACTTGCATTATCTTCTTGAGCTGATGGTGAATTCTTCTGAACTTTGTTTTTGGGTACATCGATTATTTTAAGTTTTCGTGGTAAATTCAAAGATAATTCTTGTTTCTTTTCTAGTGAAGCACTGTCATGTTTGATATGTTGCAAGACTGATCGAACACCATCGAGAACTTGCACATTACCAATCTGTTGTTCTTGCATTTTTTCCAATGGTTGTCTAACATTCAGAGATAATTGCTTAGTCAGATCGTCCTTTCTTTTATTCAGATACAGTCTTTGATTTTCGATTTTTTTCATCTTTTCGGTAAACAGTTGGTTGATTTTTTCTAGTGCTATTGTTCGCCATGTGTTACACTCAGTTTCAGCATCGTCACACGCTTCAAAAGCAGTTTCTAAGATTGCTATCGTTTGTTGATCGAATTCGTTAGTCTTTTGAATAAGATCGATAACATCAGGTAATAGAGCCTTTCCATGCATAACGATATGAACAGCACATAAACGTTTGTTGCAATGCAAACATACACCCGATTGTACAATATTACACGAAGGTTCTTCACAATCAGCCATTCTTGCGTCTGTATGTTTCGTGGTTTACTTGATCGTTGTGCAATCAGAGAAATATTTATGCTTTCTTTCAATGTATCATAAATTTTTTTCTTCCTTGCGTTTGCCGTTATGTCTGTTACATGCTCGTTTCAAAACAAACTATTATTCATATCTGTAGCAAGCAAAAGAAAAGAGAAAAATATCGCTCGAAATTCTCTTTTTGTGCTTGCACAATAATAGTTGTCAAGGCACCTGAATAAATTGATCTTTCCAGTTTTTTCTTTCTAATAAATCAGTTTTTGTAATTTCTTTTATTACAGTGATTTATTAGTCAAATGTTTGATTCAAAATTTATAGTGTACGCATCTATCAAGTCATCAACATTTTTTCAGAGAAACTATCGCAATATCAAAAACAAGAAAATATAAGTGTTTTCTATTGCTTCATTCTGCGTCTTGTTATTCAAATATAACTAAATGAAAAAATGGCATAAGGTTCACATAGTCAAACCGAATAGGAATGAGAACAAATGTGCCAATTAAAATGTCTGCTTACTCCTATTATGTGTTTCTTCTTTGATCGACAGAGTTTTTTTTCTGATTGTCTTTAATATTCAATTCATTTTTCTCAATTGCTCCGTTTGGCCTATTGAAATTAATTTACCACTAAAAGCACGCGAAGTTAAGGATTAACACACTAACGAATCCTCTTGATTTGTGATCAATTTTAAATTGTGACTATTGTTGGCGTTGTTCTTTGATTGGCCATTTAGTGATTGCTTGAAAGAGAAATTGTGTACTACGGTTGAAAATATTTAACGTAAAGTGAGTCCATTAACGGTTTCTTTGTTTTCTGCATTTACTCAAGATGTTTTTTTAGTTATTGAATGTATGCAGTAGTATGAGACAACCAGTCTCATTTAGTCTTCAGCGAAAAAAACGTAAGAAACTTTGAAATAGAATTTCTGTTGGATTTTTTTATGTCTCATTATTTCATTAAAAACAAATATGTGGAACCGTTGCAAGACTTCATAAGTAGATGTATCGAAATATACGAATTACGCTTAGAGCAATATTAAAGGTTTCAAAGCATGAAGATCAATCGATTCCTTACCAAGATCGTGACGGACTAAAAATCATATTACTAGTAATTGTTCTTCAACATGCTTTTATGAATTTATGAGCCGATCTTTTCTATGTTCGCATGTATTGAAGAAGTCAATGTCAAATACTGACATATATCTTTACATATTCGTTATATAAGTACGGCTCAGGAGGTGAGTTTTCACAAATAATTTATTTTCAATTCATCTTTCGATCTGTCAAATATCAGTGCATTATTGACAACAGTAGGAAAGTGTGGGATGTGGGTAGGAACAAGTGGCAGTTTAATTGGAAAAAAGATCCACCCCCACACATTCACATTCACACTCACTTACACACCCCACGCACAGTTGACTTTGCACATTAGAAATTAGTTAAAAAAGCATCAGTCTCGATTCAAGTTTCTTTTTCTATTTATTCTACTGAACTGTTAGTATCAAGTGTTACGAGATATAGAAGAGAAAAGTTTCACTCAGTAATGTTTTACTTCGGCACCTATGAATGCGATGTCCCGACCAATTCCTTTTAAAACCAAATCAGTGAATTCAGCCAAATTGAGTTTACCATCAAAATTTCGATCAACTTTTTGAATATGTTCACGTAAGACCCTTGGAGGTGCCCGAGGTGCAATGATAGGCATAAACGCTTCAAGTTCATCAATGTCGATTTTATTCGAATGATCGGCATCAAGAATACGAAATGCGTCAGGTATATCATCAGTTGCTTCATCGCCCAACATGAATGGTCGCAACACTTTTAACCATTTATCAAATGGTATTACTGTTCTCCAGGTTTTTCTTGCAATTCGCTCATATTCGTCTCGAGGAACTTTTATATGATACGAACGTATTTTGCCATGACCATGCTCTTCTTTGTACATATATTCGGCTAGTACTGTTTTTCCGGCTTGTCGATGCAAAATTTCATCAATATGAATGTGATGTTGTACAGGCATTATAAAAGAAACTTGACAATATCAGTTAGAAATATTAATCTTGTTCGAATTATTACTTACTGACTGCAACTTACAGAATGATCAATCCAATAGAATTTCGCTGTTGTTGTTGTTGTTATTGTTACTGCTCAGCAAAAATGAAATGCAAAAGCATAGAACGACGTTGATTTAAATAGTTTTTTTGTGTTGACCTTGAAATATTGTTGACAATTCTTTGTTTCGATCTATCTCGATTGCTTTGATGAATCGAAAACAGAACAAGGTATGCACTGTAAGATTGTTGTTGTGTGTATTTTTCATTTCAAACGATAGCAGTAAGAATTTTGTTTTCTGTTGCCTTAGAATAATGAATTTTAATTTTTTGTCTTGGCGCAAGGTGTTGACACAGTCGTAGAGAGAAATTTTTTCTTTTCAGTTATATTTGGTTTTTGCCACTAAAGTTGTCTTATAATAGAAAAAGAAAATAAGAAATTATACTTAACGCAGTTCTGGTCAAAAGAAACCCGAGACGCTGAAGGCAGTTGGTGTTGGTCTGTGAGCGTGAGTATTCGGGAGAATTTCATCACCCACATCCACATCTTTCTGTCAGTTTAATAAAACGTTCTTCGAAAGACGAAACGTCACTTAAATTATAAAGAAATAATAAAATCTAAATAAATCTGTGAAAGAGTATTCAATCATGTTAAACCTATCAACAACCTTCCTATCAAGACAATAATTAACTTCCTTATTATCCGAAAGAGATCATGAACACAAATTTCCATAGTTATTATTATCTACTGGTCATGTTTCTCAATTTTTGTTAATTTAATTAATTCTAAATCTTTTTTCTGTCATAGATTTAACACTGATTGAATTTTGTTCCTTTCTTGATCCCAATACGTTGAGTGACATTGTGATCTACTGTGGCAAGTTCATTGAACATATTCTTGAAAAAAGACCAGATATTTTTTACAAGACGACTATCTTAGCATTGTTTCAATGTTGTCTACGTATCTGTAATGTTCAGCTTGTAAATTTTTAATTGATAATGAAACTTTTCAACGTATGCGAGTACCTGTAATATTGTCAATACCTACAGACACCACCAACTCTTACAAAGGATAGAGTTAAAAATTGATATTATTTGTATATCCCTACTGCGTCTCGGTTTTTTGATTCAACTGAAGGATAGTCTTTCTTTTGGATACAGACATCCATAATCACTTTCACTTTTACTTATACAAGGCCTTAAAAAATTAAGGATCGGATGGCCCAAAAGACATTAATAACTATTCGTGCGAAATTTTACTATTTATATTATGTTATTAATTTTCTTCACAGTTCATGTTGAAAGATATATGCCGTAAAATCTTCTTCAAAAATTCTATATATTTTTTTATTACAAAGTATGAGAACAGGAAACTACACGACAAATATTTAGGTGTCGGAAGCTACTAGCTTTCTAAAGCATGTTTTAGCATTCTTTAACTTTTTGCTAAGCGGTGACAAAAGTATAAACATATATGAAATTAAATTTTCTGATGCTGTGAAGGACGTAGACGTAGCTCTTATAGAAGAAGTGATGCAAAAAGTTGATTCTAGGTCCAGAAACACCATATATTTCTTATAAATTAGGCATCGATAACAAATTGACTTTGATTTGTTTGTATTGTAATTTATTCGCTACCAATTGACAATCAATAAAAGAACCATGATTTTAGTCATTTAAAATGGATCTTTTCGAATTTTTACATGAGAGTGTGTCCGCAATTTTTACAGGTAGGCCTTGTAGCTGTCTTTCTTTAATGAAGTTACTTCCTTATTCAGAAAGATGCCAATTTTCGCCAAGCGATTTTCACTTGAAATCGACCGTTCTTTAGAGAAGACGCTTTTTAACTGAACTGAAAACTATGTTTTTTTTTATACTTCGGTTGATTAGAAGTGCTATTGAAAGTGAATAGTTTTTGTTCTACCATTAGTTTCATATGCTTTCAACTACAAAGAAGCATGACATCTCTCTTTAATGGAAAGCTCAACATTTTTATGGATTTTTCAATTCGAGACATTTTTCTGTAGTCATGTAGATTGAATTCACTGACTAATAGGACTTGTTATGAAGATTACTACTTATATCTGTTGTATTGTTACTATGATATTGGCGTGGAAAAAAAATCCAGGCCTAGACAGGGAGGCCAGACCGAGGAAATCAGAGAACAGGCACAGGCATTCTAGGAGGAATGTAAGCCTGTCACAGACAGACCAGGCCTTCAAAGCGTGGGCCTGTTTGGACCTCTGTTTGACACAGCTGAAAGCCATCTCTATCTGCAAAACAATGTCACAGTAAATGAAAAGATGAAATGAGCTAAGATGAAAACGTTTTGTATCAGGCTCCCTATTTAAGGTTTATTAATATCTAAGCATTATTGCAGCCGCATAATGGTAATAGATGATAGAATCTTGCCAGTAGGGCTGACTTTTTTCTGATAGTTTATTATGAAAGCATACACTAAATAGTACTAACAATTGGGATTCTTTAAGACTTGGTTGAAAGTAACAGGTGAAGCATAATGAGTGAGTATGTTTTGCATTTCATTTTTTTCAGCTTTTAATTCGCTTTATTAAAAAAAAACTATATCACAAGATGCAACATGAAAGGCGCTACTATGTACATAAGATCACTTGTTTTAGTCTCACTTTTTTGTCTTCAAAATAAACAAAACATCGAGCAATCAAATTTCAACCGTATGAAAACGGTAGTTTGTTTTTTTTGCTCAAGATGAATTCGTTTTTCTTATTTAATCGTTCTACCAGTTTGATATTTTTCACTTTAAAAAAATATACTAGCAGATGCAGTGTAAAAGCTCTTCAATTTACAAAGGACGACCGACTTTACAGTTGTATTTTTTGTTTTTAAAATCGACAAAATTCTGAGCGACCAGATTTCGATGTTGCGAAGAATTCTTTTTTTCAGCACGCGCGAAATGTTTTTTTTATTTACCACTGGATGTGTTTTATGAAAAAATACAAAAGACACTGCAAGATGCAGCGTAAAAAGCTTTACAATTTTCAAAGAACAAGCTATTGTATATATGCATCGTTTGTTTTCAAATTAAGCCAAATTCTGTGCGACCAATTGTCGTCGTTGTGAAAAAATCATTTGTTTTGCTACATGAACGAGGAATTCTTTTTTTTTCTTCTGCCATCTTTTTGTCTCCTTATAGATTTTCGTAAAAGAAACAAAATATACCACACGATGCAGCATGAAAAGCTCTACAATTTACACAAGATCATTTCTTTTAATGCACTGTTTGTTTTCAAAAACCAGCAAAATTCTGTGAGACTATTTTTTGCGCGGTCGAAATTTCATCGTTCGAAATTTCATCTATTTTGAAAACAAAAACTGACACTTTGAAATAAGTGTTCTTATGTAAATAGTAGAACTTTTCATGCTGCATCTTGTGGTATATTTTGTTTTTTAATAAACCAAATAAAAGGCTGAAAAAGTGAAACGCAGCCATTCATCAAGCCGTACTCTCCGATTCAGAACAGCGAGCTCAACATTTCATGATAGAGAATCTTTTATGTAGACTAATAGAAACTTCCAATATGGGATGTGGGTGTAGGTGTGGGTATGCCAGAAAACATTACCCACCAGCATATGCACACCTACAAATTCACACTCCACCAACCAAATCTATGAATCACCCAAACCCGCACCCTCTTATGTTCTTTTCTATTCTAAGACCACTTTAGTGGTCAAAACCAAATATAACTGAAAAGAAAAAATTTCTCTCTACGACTGTGTCAACATCTTGCGTCAAAACAAAAAATTAAACTTCATTATTCTAACGCAACAGAAAATAAAATTCTTACTGCTATCGTTTGAAATGAGAAATACACACAACAACAATCTTACAGTGCATACCTTGTTCTCTTTTCGATTCATCAAAGCAATTGAGATAGATCGAAACAAAGAATTGTCAACAACATTTCAAGGTCAACACAAAAAACTATTTAAATCAACGTCGTTCTATGCTTTTGCATTTCATTTTTGCTGAGCAGTAACAATAACAACAACAACAACAACAACAGCGAAATTCTATTGAATTGATCATTCTGTAAGTTGCAGTTAGTAAGTAATAATTCGACCAAGATTAATCTTTCTAACTGATATTGTCAAGTTTCTTTCATAATGCCTGTACAACATCACATTCATATTGATGAAATTTTGCATCGACAAGCCGGAAAAACAGTACTAGCCGAATATATGTACAAAGAAGAGCATGGTCATGGCAAAATACGTTCGTATCATATAAAAGTTCCTCGAGACGAATATGAGCGAATTGCAAGAAAAACCTGGAGAACAGTAATACCATTTGATAAATGGTTAAAAGTGTTGCGACCATTCATGTTGGGGGACGAAGCAACTGATGATATACCTGACGCATTTCGTATTCTTGATGCCGATCATTCGAATAAAATCGATGTTGATGAACTTGAAGCGTTTATGCCTATCATTGCACCTCGGGCACCTCCAAGGGTCTTACGTGAACATATTCAAAAAGTTGATCGAAATTTTGATGGTAAACTCAATTTGGCTGAATTCACTGATTTGGTTTTAAAAGGAATTGGTCGGGACATCGCATTCATAGGTGCCGAAGTAAAACATTACTGAGTGAAACTTTTCTCTTCTATATCCCGTAACACTTGATACTAACAGTTCAGTAGAATAAATAGAAAAAGAAACTTGAATCGAGACCGATGCTTTTTTAACTAATTTCGAATGTGCAGAGTCAAGATTTTGTGCAAAGTCAACTGTGTGTGGGGCACGGGTTTGCAAGTGTGTATATGCTAGTGGGTCATGTTCTCGGGCGTACTCTTGCCCACACCAACACCCACATCTCCACCCTTGTGGGCACTCAGATAAGATAGTTGCATATCGTAAAAATGCGATTTGACATCAATGCTGTTTAGATGTGGATGTAGATGTGGGTGAGTTTGAGTGAGAGGATGGATATGGTTTGTGCAGATATGAGTTTGCCTGTGGGCTTGTTTGTGTGCGAGTCTGGTTGGGACTGGTTGTGACTGCATGTGGCCGTGCGTGTGAAGTGTTGCTGAATGTGAGGACAAATATGGTTGCTGTCTACATCAGCGCTTTTGATCTACACCTATATCCGCATCCATACAACCACACCCTCGATATCTCTGAAACAAACGCACAAGAGGCTGAATCGTCTTTAGGCTTTTCATACATCATTGAGATCTACTTATGGACAGAAGATGGGTCCGACACGACTTGAACACTTCAGTATGTTCCCTTGTTAGTGTCGTAATGCAAATTGGGAAAGTTCATCGTTGAATTTCGACCTGAAACTTTATACAGAGGAAGGGATATCATAAGATTAGTTTATGGTCAATGTTTTAGATCTTTTGCTTTGCTTCTATGATGAAATAAGAACATCAGATCTAGTAATGTAAATCATGTATTATTTTCACTAGTATATTTTTAGCAGATACCCATTCCGAGTACCAACATTTAAAATGAATTTTCATGGGAATTTAAGAACTATTCATGGTAAAGACCAGAAATTGTCGAAGAATATATTACAATTGATAATAACAGGTAAGTCTATAACTGTGAAAGAAAAGAAAAAAAGTTACGAATAAGAGACATTTCGCTTGCGATCGATTTGTCATCCAAATATGGAAGAAAGACGGTAAAAAAATTATTATGAAGAATTATAATTGGAATAGACTTAATTTGCAAGAAATGCGTTAGATCCATCAATTTCACTAAGCTCAATCATGAAAGCAAGGAAAGATACTATACAAACAATAGATTTGACATTGCTGAATATGTCTTTCGATGAAACAAAACCCGCTGGATCTCATGGATGAAATATGGATATCTAAAATAAGTTCAGTTTGTTCGGTTAGTTTTATTGAATAATATTGAATCATAAATCATGAGATGCAGATGTTAATTCTGATTCAGGGCGTTTCATGTATTTTTTGAAAAGCAAAATAATTAATTCAATTTTTCTTTCTTTTTTTGACTTCTCGCACTTGTTTTTGTCACAAAGTGCTAAAAGAAAAATCTGACTCTCGTTTCTCATCTGTCGTCAATGGTCATCATCGAAATATACCACACATATTTTCTTTTTCATTTTTTTCCAGAAAGTTTTATTCAATTGAACAAGATCGAGGTAAAGCAACAGGAGCTTTATATTGTCGTCGTGAAATGATTATGTTTCTCTGTTATTCACTTTGTTATCGTACACATGTATTATAATATAAGTCAGCAATAACATTCACTTGAGTTCGTTATTGAAAACAATTAAAATAACTTCTTTTGACCGTAAATTTGTCGTTATTTAAGATTTTATTGGTGGATCAAGATAATACGTGAATTACGCACAAATACAATTGCGACCATTAAACTTTGATTTTCTCGATTGACAATTACAGGTCTATGTATGTTGTTGAGATGCTTCTGGTGTAAAAAATCCATAGCCAAAACAAAATAAAAACTGATTTCAAAGCAAGGGAGTGTGGGTAACATCCCACACTCCACCGATACTTGAAAGCGCTTAATAAAATGATTATACATGCAATTAAATTTCCACTATTGTTCATAAATAAGTGAGAATCGTTACACTAGCAATGAAAATATTTGAGTAAAACTCTAAATTGTAATTATTTAAACAAAAACACGTATGACACACAGATCACAAATCGTATGAACTTCATACTGTGGGAGTTATTGAACATAGAAAATTTGAGAATGAAATCAATTAGTTTGTTCTGAATTTGTCTTATCATATGAAAGACAAAAACAAGTCATTTGATTGTTCATTGATGAAATATCCCTTTTTGGACAAATATCTTCCAAATGTCTATGATCAACATTAGATGAGTCACAAAGAACATTGTTTTGCTCTTTATTTATAGAAAACGATTTCATAATACAAAATATGAGTGATTAAATGTCATTCAAATTGATTGAAAATAATTATTGTGTTCTTGTTTTTCGAATTTTACTGAAGAGATATTTTCTTAGTTTACGATTGTACACAAATAAATTGATCATATAACCAATATGACTCAAAATAGGTAAAATAGTAACTATTCGTTGAATTGTATGTGGAATGGCCGAACCGGTCCAATTGATTGCTGCTATAATATAAATGGGCGTCCAACCGCCTGCAAATATGCTAAGCATGAGAAATATATGTTTGAGAAGATACATATCATGGCGGCGATTAATCATTCTTAATGAACCCGAGTTTATTGGTTGAACTCTACGAGATGATCGAATAGTACACACGACGATGATTGTGTTGGCCATTAGAATAATGATCGATGGCAATATCACAATGATTACCAACGTGTATATTTGATAACTAAGTTCAAGGCCTGTTATAAGACAATGCTACAAAACAAAATCAGAGGATTAACTAAGAATTGTGAACACAAAATAAATGTATCTGAAAAGCAAAACATAGTCAATGTTAATTTTGTAAATATTTAAACATTCGATTGATTGTCTGTATATATATACAAGCGTTCGATCAAAATAATCTTTCGAAAAAAAAACTCCTACCTCAAGATCTGATGCAAATGTGGGCAATGGAAGTATTACCACAATGAACAATTCAATTCCGATACAGGCAGCTAACCTTCGCTTTGTACGAAAAAATGTTGTTTGTCCATAGATAATCGTGTAAAGTTGATTTAATGATATGACACACAAGGCATAGGTGACTTGACAATTCACCATTGTTTGTCCATAAATAATTGGCAAGCAACTTTGTGGCGTCCATAGTATATTTGGATAAAAGTAACTCATGAAAAAATAGATGCTCCAAAATTTGGTGCAGATTATAGCTGCCAAACACACATTTAGAGTCAGCAGATAATTCATTTTATGAAATCGACGAATACAACAGATTGAAAATGCATAAACATATCCAGTAAGTAAAATTAAAATTAAAAGTGCAATGCAAATAGAAACGAAAAGAAGTTCAAGTTGCTGTTCCTGCATTTCAAGGTATTGCTTATTTGTACAAATGATATCTACAAAAAAAAATGAAAAAATGAGATTCATGACTGTGTTCTTTACTATTTCATCACAATGTTTCGGTCGTTCAATCATAAATATCAACTGGAACATGCTTTCAACAGATGAATTTTGTGATTGACTCGTGAATTGACGTAATTTGTCGGATACCGTCTCACTTGCTTTTAGAATGAATAACTAAAGATGGTTAGAGAAAATACAAGGTTAGATCGTTCATTATCGTCTTTCGTTCACATTCTTTGAATATTTAATGTATACGATTCTGGCACAATCAAGATGTATCCGTCTATCTACCTACCTATCTGTTTATCAAAGCAAAAAAGATGCCTTGAAAAGGACGTTCTGTAAGATTAAAAGTAGAAAACACAACGCAGAAGATATTGCATGAAAAAACGTAGACAAATTTTGAATATAACAGATGAATTAGAAACTAATGCAAACGGAAAAATGAGTGAAAAGATTACAGAAATAAATGAAAGTTGACAACAACTCACGTTAATCATTTACAAAGACATGTGAAAGAGTATTAAGTTTCATGTTTGTTATGGGCTTTCAATCCTAGCTGAAAAACTACTCAACTCAAGTGCAAGAGAAAGAAAAAAAAAATATATATATATATACGAGAGATAGAAAAGAGATGTTATATTTAGAGACGAGAATGTTGTCTTTGTGATGTCTTCTGTTGTTCTTCGCTTCACCAACTCATTATCATCTGTAGTGTTAAACCTGAAAGTTGAATTCAACTTTCAAAGTTGACATATATGGAACAAGGCATTTCTTCACTTTAATCACATTCTTAATCAACTGTTGGATGAACAAACATATTCTTTTTGTCATTCTTTCTTTTACAAAGAAATCTCTTTATCTTAAATTAAATTTTTATTCCTATTTTAAATAAAATTGGTCCTTTTGTGCTTTATATAAAATATCGATGTGTATTCTTATCATAGTAGAAAATACATTGTTAAAATACGCATAAAATATTTATTTTGAGTACATACATATTTCAAAACAGAATGAAAATCTCAAGAACTTAAGCATCTCACGCATTCGCGTTGTTTCAAGAGGGTACATAATTAAAAGTGTACGTGTTGAAACAATCTAAATCGTCATTTCTCGCCGCTAACAAAGCATTTTTCTGTTAATGCGTTACAACGCTAAAAAATAATGATTGGGTCTATTTGACATACTACTGCTTATTTCGAAAGCGTGAAACATTTACAATTTTCCTTGTACTATTGTTAATGTGTCAAGTTTTTTGAGTTAAATAAGCGAATAAATTTTACAAAAAACAAACTATGGAAAAATCTGATTTATGAGCATTAACACTTTAATAATTTAATCCATCACTCTCGTTGATCAAAATGTAGAGCGATAACGCACGAGATTTAGAGTATTCAAGAACTTACATGCGTGTGAAAAGAAGTGCGTGTTAAAATATTTAAAAAAAAACAGTATTTCGAACGTTTCCGGATCCACTGGTGCTGGTTGAGAAAATTTCTACCATAGTCACATCCACAAAGTTAATTTTACTTGTATTTACATGGTTCCTCTCTTCCATACGCGTTATTACGTTCCAAAAAAGGCCTTTTTAT